GGGCTCTGTCCATGGCGGGGCATCTGGGGGGGAAGGCGAGGGCTCCAGGCACGTGCCGAGCCCTCATGGAGGCTCGGCCTCTGGCCCCTGAATCCCTCTGGGCGTCTCGGATCCTCTGAGCCCCTTTGCAGACAATGCAAGGCAGCGGCAGACAGACGAGTCCGGCAGCAGCTGCGCAGGCGGCGAGTACATGTGAGAAGTTTGCGAAAGGAGACCAGAGAAAGGGAGAGGAAGGCAAGTCAGGCGGCTGTGAACACCTGGCCAGGCAGCCCCACCAGCTGCCTCGCCTCCCGATGGCATCTTGAGCTCGGCCCTCCTATCGGGGCCATCTCCCATTCCACCCTCCCTGCCCCTTTTCCAACTCTCCAATGTGGGGCTTGGGAATGAAGGTGGGTGCGGGTAGCTGCTGGCTTCTCCAAGTGCAACCTGTGCCCGGAAGCATGCCTGGAGCCTGGCCAGCCTCCGGAAGCAAGAAAAGAAGTAAAACCTGCTCACCCTACTCCCTCAGTCCCTGGGCTTGGGAGATGGGATAACTAGTGCCAGTCTGGGATGTCAGTTAGGACTAACTAACTAACAAACCTGAGCTCCAGAGTCGGATAAACCAAGGCTCCCATCCCCATGCAACTACTGCCTAATTGTGTAGCCTTGGCCAACTTACTCAGTCTTTCTATGCCTCCTTTTTCTCATCTGTAAAATGGGGATAATTTTACAGGCTTGATTTTGGAGACTCAGTGTACAACACTTCTAAAGCATCTAACTCAGAGTTTTGTACATAGGAGCCACTCCATAAATGGCCCTTCTTGTCACCATCATCATCGGCACCCCCCTGGCCAGAGTTCATTAATTCAACATGAATTACATCAAGCTCTTAATGTTGCCTGGCCTGTAGACATAGGCACTGGAAACACAGACAGTTCTTCAAGGATCAGAGACCATAAAACATCACGTTCTTACTAAGAGATAATAAGGGAAGATGCAAAAGACATCGGAAGCTCAAAGAAGGAAAAGTCTCTTTGAGTCTTCATGAAACTTACATAATAAGGGCAGGATTTTAAAATAATAATAATAATGATAATAATAATGCAGGTGACGAGGGTCTAGACTAAGTTTTTCAAGTTGACAGTCCCAAATCCTCTGCATCCAAAATCATGGATGTCTATTAACAAGCACGTTAGTTTTTGAGGTCAACATCTCTGGGTGTGGGCCTGTGGTGTTGTATTTTAAGAGGTTGCAGATGGTTCCTACTTATACTAAAATTGAGAACCACTGGCCCACAGGAAAATGCATCTGCCCCCCAGGCCCCTACCTGCTTTGCATCTCTACAAGGCTAGTCCTTCTGGAGGATATAGTGCTTTGTGCCCTGACTTAGCCTTACATGTGGCAAATCTATGTCTCTACTAGACTCTGAGGTCCTGAAGCAGTGTCTTCTATATCTGCAAGGCCTTCCACAAGACTCTGCTGTTAGCAGGTAGTCAGAAATGCTTATTGAATGGGGAAAATTCTCCCTTCGATGCTACTTGCATAAATGCCCACATAGTCCTTACATGGACCTTCACACACTTCGTTTGGTTCATAAATGATATGAGTGTGTGTGTGTGTGTATGTGTGTGTGTGATTGTAATTTAATGCCATGGTGGTGGTAGGGGGTGGGTAAGTGCTCTCTAGTTTACCACAGTTTCAATCTTTCCTTTTATCCACCCAGAAAAAGTTACTCATTTATTTTACTAGTTTTGCACCTTATAGAATTTAAGTTTACAAATTCTGGAAAGTGTAGAGGCTGTTACGAATTGTTGTCTAAGGCTGTCCTTCCAATTGCTTTCTCTATGGTCTTGTCTCTCTTTTCTTCTCCAGTCTCCAGTCTGTTATCTCCAAGGCCTTCTCAAAAAGACTGGTCCTTAAGGATCGGTGTGGTCTCACCGCTGGCTGCCTAGAACAGCCAGTAGACCTTCTTAGAGGGGAAGATGGGAAAAACCCTAAAACACACAGGACCAGACACAGGTGTGTTTCTTGATTTGTGATCCTAATGCCTGGGGATGCTGGACTAGGGGCTGGTAAGGTGAAGGTCAACTTTGGAGGCGTGCGAGGACCAGTTGGTTTTGCTCTGTTTCTGACTCATGCCTGACCTCTCTGCTGGCCAGTATCTCCCAGACCCCTGAAAGGACAGAGCAGAGAAAGAGAATGGATATGAATCCTTTCTCTCCCAGTTTCTAGGGGTTCAGCTTCACAGACAACTAGGGTATGATGGAGTGAGTATGGGTCTCAGGGCATCATGGGGCCAGGCAAGATACAGACCATGTATCTCTCTGTTTCATTCCCCCTTTCCCTTTGGGCTTCCAGCTCTGGGAAGAAAACAAAGACTGAGTGGTCTTAAATCCTAGTGAGTGATAAAATAATGCTGCATTCAGCGCTGGGGAGTTGAGTGTCCCTGGAGATTAAGTTCCTGACATGCTGAAAATATGTTTCATTCAAATTAACCAGAATAATAGTCTTTTGTTAAAGCTAGAAGTCTTTGTTAAAGCTTAGCAATCATCTTATCCAGCCTACTCCTTGTAGGTAAACTGAGGTGTAGTCAGGGTCACCCATAATATGTCAGAATGCAGCCCCAAATCCAGCCCTCCTGCAGCCCATGGTTCTGATGTGTATTCTGCACTTCCAGAATCCCGCCACCCTTGTGCTCTGTGTCTTGTTCATGAATCTACCTCCCTTCTACTGCTTGGCAAGTTTAGAGTTAACTTTCTGAAGTGAATATTAGACCGGTGTCTCCTTGAGTGCCAGGATGGAATCTGATTCACATCTGTGTCCCAGCCTTTGGCATGGGGTCTGGCACAATCCAGGTGTTGGGTGAATGGAGAGCAAGGATCCACAGTATGCACCTGCAGACAAACCGGGCACCAGGGGGATGACTTGGGCCACCCCCACTCTCACATCTTTCTCTTTAAGTTGAGGAAGAAGAGAGGAACATGAATATTCATATGGAATATGAATATCATTCAATGATATCAATGTGCCAGGCACTGTGCCATGTGCTTATCCCAATGCATTCCTCACAACAATCAATGGGAAAGAAATGCTCATCCCCATTTTACAGATGGGGACACCGCACTACAGAGAAGTTGAGAACATGTCGTGGTCTCAGCCAGAAAGAGGCAGAGGCGCATTTTGAATCTGAGGTCAGGGCCTGAGCCCTATGGCACCAGGTTGTGAGGAAGTTGACTAAGCACCGATTTCGTGGCTCAATGCTTTTCTTTTTACCCTAACTCTGAACATTTTCACGAGAACCCAAGGAGGCGGACGATAGTGCAATTCCCATTTAAGAGTCGCCGAAACCGAGGCTCAGAGGGCTTTAGCGAAAGGGCTGCGCTTGGCGCTAGGCACCTGGGCTGAGTCTTTTTCCCACCATCGCAGAGCGGGAACCAGCGGAGGGGGCTGGCTTGTATGGGGAGAAAAGCGATTGGAGGGCGCCGAGGGGAAGAGGGAGCCCGGATCTGTCAGGGCCTCCTCTTGGGCTAAGGGGTGGTCCCCTCCATCACCCCACCCCACCTCTTTCAGATTCTAGGAAAGCCGGCACGCACATACCCTGCATAATAGCAGGCACGGTGAGGTCTCTAAGCTCCGAAGATCGCTCTCCCAGCGGACGCAGTGGCCTTGGCAAGGGGTTACAGCTGCACGCGGAGGGGTTCTCTCCGAACCCGAGTGCAGCGTAGCCGTGGTCCAGGATTCCCCATCCATTATTCACGATGTTTACTAGTGCGGGGGAAAGGAGAGGAAAGAAGAGGGAAGTAGAGAGAAAAAGAGGCTAGGGGAGGTGGAGGCGGGCAGTACTAACTTCGAGAGCCCTCAAGTTCCGAAACTTCGGGAAGGAAGACCGAGAGGCTAACGCGCCTTGCACGCAGTAGGCCGTCAGTAAATATTTGTAAGATGGATAGATAACTGGGTGAGTGAGTGAATGGGCTAATCATTAACCCCTCTGACCCTTGATTTCCTCGTCTGTAAAACGGGATAACATCACCTACTCCATACAGTGGGTATGAGAATCCCATGGGCAAACTCTAAATTGTCTAGCGCATATTAGGAACTCTCAAACGGTAACTGTTGTCACGAGGAATGGGCTTGCAAGTTCTGGCTGCCCAGCAAAAGTGCACTGAAGGACTCCCAGGCCTGGAGGGCCATCCTAAACTGTCACTATCCAAAAAATACTCCATAAGGGCTGGAAAAAGAGAGAGTGGGCCAAGTTGCCTCCCTCAAATGAAAGCAAGAAAGGCAAGGGTGGGGAGGAAGCCACTCCTGGACAGAGAAGGCCCCTACCTTACTGCCCCTACCTCTACCTCAGAGCGCGGTTGGGGGAGTGGGGGCAGGGGTCACCTGGGGCTCGTTCTGGCAGCCCCTCACCCTCCCCCGGGCCCGTCTGGGCGCTTGGAGGCGCCTCCTCGCTGCGCCACGGGACCGGACTCTGGTGGACCGCTTGGGCGTGAGGCCAGGAGCGCCCTGGAAATGGGCAGTTTGGCGGCAGCCGGGCCGACGGAGTGTGTGTGTGTGTGTGTGTGTGTGTATGTGTGTGTGTGTGGTGGGGAGGGGAAGTTGGAGTAGGGTCAACTTCCTGCCCCAGCTCAGCCCAGGGCTGTCCTTTTATCCTGGCAGTTCGAGCTGGGACAGGACCGAGAGGATTGGGACTTTTGGGGTGGCATGGGGGGAGGGAAGTGCACGAAGAAGAAAGAATCCGAAAGGTCGGGCGGGTTGGAGCCACGCGGGGCGGGGCGGACTGGGAGAGGCCAGGTCTGGCCCGGGTATAAAGGCTGTGGAGGGGGTGGCCGCCGCGGGCGTAGAAAGGCGCGCCGCTGGCTGCTGTCTCGCCTCACCTCCCGGGCCGCCCCTGCGAGTCCCGGGCGCGTGAGCACGCCTGCGCGCGCCCGGGCCCTTCCTGGCAGGCTGCTTGTAAGATGAGTGAAGAAGCAGGTGGGGGAGAGGGGAGGCAGCGAGCGAGAGGGCGAGGGGAGCGCGGGCGCTGAGCAGCGCTCACTTGGAGCGCGGCAAGCGAGCTAGACAAGCCTGATTCCATGTCCCCCGCTGCCACCCTGCCAGGAGCGCGAAGATGATGGCCATGAACTCCAAGCAGCCTTTCGGCATGCACCCGGTGCTGCAAGAACCCAAATTCTCCAGCCTGCACTCCGGCTCCGAGGCCATGCGCCGAGTCTGTCTCCCAGCCCCGCAGGTACGTAGTGGAGCATAATTACCGCTCTAAGGCACATTTTTTGACAGGCACTAGCTTCATGTTTTTTTCATGTCGCCCAGAACAATCGCCGCTGTCTGAACCCCTCTCCTTGTCTCCCCCGCTTTCTCTCCCGGCGCGCTCTCTCTCTCATTCATGTCTCTGATCCACACGTCTGTTCCAGCAGAGCTGCTGCCTCCGTATTAATTTTTATGACCTGGGCTTTGAGGAGAGGCATCTCGGTTGCTTGAAAATGTGTTTTAATCCTGTGTTGACAGTATTCCCTACTGACCGTGCTGTGCGCCTTCTCGCTTGCAGCTGCAGGGTAATATATTTGGAAGCTTTGATGAGAGCCTGCTGGCACGCGCCGAAGCTCTGGCGGCGGTGGATATCGTCTCCCACGGCAAGAACCATCCGTTCAAGCCCGACGCCACCTACCATACCATGAGCAGCGTGCCCTGCACGTCCACTTCGTCCACCGTGCCCATCTCCCACCCAGCCGCGCTCACCTCTCACCCGCACCACGCAGTGCACCAGGGCCTCGAAGGCGACCTGCTGGAGCACATCTCGCCCACGCTGAGTGTGAGCGGCCTGGGCGCTCCGGAACACTCGGTGATGCCCGCACAGATCCATCCACACCACCTGGGCGCCATGGGCCACCTGCACCAGGCCATGGGCATGAGTCACCCGCACACCGTGGCGCCTCACAGCGCCATGCCCGCATGCCTCAGTGACGTGGAGTCAGACCCGCGCGAGCTGGAAGCCTTCGCCGAGCGCTTCAAGCAGCGTCGCATCAAGCTGGGGGTGACCCAGGCGGACGTGGGCGCGGCTCTGGCTAATCTCAAGATCCCCGGCGTGGGCTCGCTGAGCCAAAGCACCATCTGCAGGTTCGAGTCTCTCACTCTCTCGCACAACAACATGATCGCGCTCAAGCCGGTGCTCCAGGCCTGGCTGGAGGAGGCCGAGGCCGCCTACCGAGAGAAGAACAGCAAGCCAGAGCTCTTCAACGGCAGCGAACGGAAGCGCAAACGCACGTCCATCGCGGCGCCGGAGAAGCGTTCACTCGAGGCCTATTTCGCTATCCAGCCACGTCCTTCATCTGAGAAGATTGCGGCCATCGCTGAGAAACTGGACCTTAAAAAGAACGTGGTGAGAGTCTGGTTCTGCAACCAGAGACAGAAACAGAAACGAATGAAGTATTCGGCTGTCCACTGACTGCGGCAGGGCGCAGCGTCAGGAGCTGGGAGAGCCTAGTGCTCATCCCTCCGGGGTTGGGGGGATGGTTATTGGGAACTCCAAGGCGTTTCCTAGGCAGGTTAGGTTCTCTCCTCCGAAGCCACAGACTTTCTCCCTTTGTCCCGCTTGGTTGCCTCCGGCCTTCTCTTTCTCTTTCCTTTCTATTCCCACCAAAAAAAGTTTTGGCGCTGGGAAAAAATTCCAGAAGGGCGGGCCTGAGGGTACTTGTGCTGTCCGTGGTGCTGAAATTTGCCCTCGCACACGGGGCCGCACGACCTCGGAGCAGGAGCACCAAAACAGAGGACAGTGAATTGGCCCAACCGCCCGAAGCTAGGGTGAAAACGCCACATTGTTAAGCGCGATCAGGCAAGGGGTGAAGGGATAAAAAGGAAGTGATCCGTAATAACACAAAGTCTAGGATATCTAAGGGGGGCACAAACATGCACTGGAGATTTATTAGAGTATATAAAGTACATGTATGTTTCCAAAGGATAGCCTTATACTCCCGTCCTTGCCTAAATTCTATTCATCTTATCCTTTGTTTCGCCGTAAATTCTCATAAGGTAGCATGAAGATTAGGTTCAGGGAAAGTATGCAGGGAGTTGCGGGCTCCAAGTTGCTATTTTTCGTGGTGAGTACGACTCCAAAAGAGGTGGGTCCAGTCTGGCGACTGAAAATTCTGGGATCGCTTGGCTGTTTGTAAGCAGCTGCCAGCTCCAGCTCCGACCATCTTTCACTACCTACTGGTGTTGAGGGGTAATTACTGCTTACCGGATAGCGGGAGTTGGTAGTGTTCATGCTGGCTGAGGACTCTCTGACCCCAGCTAGCTGTTCTTGCCAGATTGCCAGCTCAGCGTGGAGTCAGCTGCTGGAAAGTGACTGTAACTTCTCTGCATTATATGCAAGTCCTTTCAACACGTCTAACCTCGTTGCGCTTTTTTATTACTGTTGTTGTTAACATCGTTAATTCCTATTATTTATTTAACTATGCTTCTTTCCATTCCCTTTATGTGGGTATCTTTCGGTGGAAGTTCACTTGTAGTTTTGTAAGGGAAGAGAAGTGGGACCAGCGGCCTGAACCCTTCTCACCCTAGCTCCTCTAGCCCAAATTTTATTTTTTTTCGTTGCTTCATGTAGTTTGCGTGTTGCTGTGTGACCTTTGGTTTCTTTCTCTGAATAGATGCAAATAAAATATTAAGTTTTCTTCTCTCTTTACCCCTTGAATTAACATCTAAAATAAATGCTTTATTTTTCAACCCGAATCAAAGTGGTTTTATTTTTTCTCAGAGGCTAAGGGGTACTAGCTTTGGAAAGGATGTAAAAGGGAGAACCCCAAAGGACCGGGCTGTCAGTTTCTGCTGACCAGTCCCTAGCCATCCCCTCTCCCCACTCCTCTTCCATGGCAGACTCACTTGGATCTCCTCGTGGGAGACCCTGAGGCTTGTGTCTGAACTTGAGGTTTCAAGGTACTTCCTTCCATGCTTCCCTGCCTGCAAATCTATGAGACTCTGCTCAACTTGACTTAGCTAGTAAACTTTAAAGCCAGACTAATGGGGATTCGAGTTTCCAATGCCTCCGCTCACTGGCAGAATCATCCTGAGGCTAATTTCTGAATTTCTCTAAACCTTCTCCAACAAGATTGCTTGTCTGCAGAATGAAGAGACCAATGCTTATTTCACAAGGTTATTGTCAGAACTAGGTAAGATTGTTCATTTAAGACTTCTACTAGTGCTTGGGCTTAGTAGGCAACAAATTATTTTAAAAGATTCAAAGGGCTTGAGAGGAGGTGAGATAATAGAGGCAAAGAGGGAGAAAAGTATTCGCTGTGACATTCTAGTGGGGCCCCCTCGGAATTTCAAATTCATCTGAAATTCTCATCCAGGTTGTTACTCACTCTGTGGTCCGCCTCGGCTTCTTTGTGGGGATACTGCTATATCTGCTGCAAAGCGCCTAGCATAGTGCCCTGTACATAATAGGTGCTCCATAGATGCCAGCTCCCTGTTCTCTTTCCGCTCCCTCTTTTTATTTGCGAGTCGTAGAAACGCCTTCCTGATTTAAAATTTAAAGCTCCAAGTCCAGGAGTCATCTGCACATTTCCCTGCTTCGTCCTCAAAGAGTTCCGGGGCATCAAACCAAGACCCGAAATTCGGAGCAGAGTGGGTTTGCCCTCCGCGCAGTGCGACACCCCCTACCACATAAGCAAACTTGCGGATCTCCCCCAGCTCCCTGGGCCTCAGCCCCTCACCCCCGCCTTGCACAACAGCCCCAGCGATTCCTCCACCTCCCTCTCCATCGGGTGTCCTTTAATAATAAATGCCCTTATGCCATTACATTATATTGTGGGTTTTGAAAATTTAAAATACGGCTGATGCAATATTAATTGCCTATAGTGGTATAAAACACAGGGCCGGAGCCCAGCCGGGCTGCAGAGGAGACGACCGTGAGCGTCCCGCACCGAAGCGAAGCGCTCCAGAAGGACGCGCTTTTGCGGGCTGCAAGGTTTCCTGCAGGTAAGAAGAGCCTTCGCATTTTCGGGCTCGGGAGAGAAACGGAAATCTGCCTCCATTCTCTTTTCGAAAAGTTCTCTGCCGTTATTTAGTTTTGTTTTTTTTTTGTTTGTTTTTTTGTTTTTTTATTTAATTGACAACAGCAAAAGTTTGGGAGACTTTTATGGCGGGGATAAGAGGAGCTGTTTCCTGAGCGCAAGGTCTGCTCCAAGACCGTCCAGTCGCACTAGGTCCTGTCTCCGAGCAGTGCCTCTGCGCCTAGTCTTCTGCAGGCGCCGGAGACCCTGGCGCCCGGGAGAATTTTGACCAGCTCTTACCTGCAGGCCAGAGCTGCAGCCAGGTCAGCGAAGCGCTACACCCTTTCCCTCCTCCTGAGTGCGCCGAACCGGCGCCGTCGCCTCGCTCTTCGGCTTGCTCAGGAAGCAACCGGAGATGTGGTTTCCCCAGGATTGTGCAGTCGCCTCTGCCACTCGTCCAGCGGAGGCACAGACCTCTGGGGGGAGGGGAGGTGGTACTAGCAGGTTTGGAGTTTACACAAGCCTAGTATGCGTCCGAATCGTGTGACCTTGGGCAAGTCATATCGCCTTCTCTAAGCCTCTGCTGCCAGCTGTAAAACTTCCCCAAATTTATTTTGAAGAGTAATTGAGGGTGTCTCCTAAGATCACCTGGAGCAGGTTTTCACTTTCCTAATTCTGTCATCTTGCAACACGCACGGTCCAAGACTCAGCTGAGTCTTTAACTTGTACCAAAAGAAAATGAAGTCAGTATTTGGGGGTGTTTGCATAGAAACCTTCATCAGGCCTCCGGTGGGTGGGACTTTGAGAACTGCCTGGCTGGAACAGGGGCTTCATCTAGAATGAGCTAGGTATACACATTCCAGCGTGGCTAAAGCCCTGGCAGGCAGAACTTGGTGGCAGGAGTCCTGGGTTCCTGAACTGTGTTATCTCTGGCCAGCGACTTCCTCTCTATGTGCCTAAGTAGTTTCAGTTTTGTTCACTACTTCATGTCTAGCACTCTGCTCAAGGTCTGGCCTAGAGTGGCAGACACCAGATGTCTGTTGAATGAATGAATTAGGCTTTTGTTTTGTAAAATGAAAGCACCCCTTCCAGCCGAATCCTCTCTGGATTCAAGGGTTTGTAGGGAGGAACAGAGCCATCAGGGATAGGCAAGTCTTCCTGGGAATGGGGATCAGGAGCGAGGTGGTGGTCTGCATCACAGGCTTTTATTTAAAGGTAGCCAGTGTCCTTCTTGTTTAAATAGAAGACACTGTGCTTCACCCTTTGGTGATTATGGGTACACAGATGTTGCTCTGTGACATGGCCCTTGGAACCTAGGGGAAGAGTCAGGGAGGGGGGACCAGGGAGTGACTCTGCCTGGCCCAGTGTGCCTGACGTTTGAGTTCCAGTTCTTTTACTTTCTTCCTGAGATGGAAACAGCTCCGGCTCTGGAGTGGACAGACCTGGGGCGGAATAACTGCTCCATCTCTTACTTGAGTAAGTGACCTTACTGCTCTGACCCTCGGTGTCCTCATCTGTAAAACTGGAAAAACTGGAAAAAAGACTCAGGATTGCTCTGATGATTAAATGAGATCACGTGAGGCCAGGTCTGACATGTATTTCGTCGCTTTAAAACATTTTTCACACTCAGAAAAGTGAAGGCAGCGTTGTGGGGCAAGTTCAGGGCTTGGAGTCAAGTGGAATCAACATTTTCCCTCTGTGAGCCACAGTCTGGTCAGGGTAGCAGTGCCTGTCAGCTCTCGGCATGGTTGTCAGGGGCAAGACAGAAGCTTAAAAGAAACCGCTTTGCACACTTTGCGTCCCAGCTACGCAAGGGACGAAGTATTCGCTCCCTGGGAGTGCCTGGTGCGAATACATAGCTCCCTGAGAAGCTTGGCCCCGGTCAGCGGCTCCTGGAGCCCGGAACTTCCTCCTTGGTGGAATCCCGGGCACCATCCAGCCTCTCCAGACTTCGCGCGGCGCTTCCTCGCGAGGAGGGGCGGGGCGCCAGAGGGCGAAGGAGAAGCAGGGCTCTTGGACTCCTCCTCTTTCCCAGCGAACATCCCTTCCCCGCCCTGTTCCCACTTTTTGGCCCCGGCGCCAGAGTGTTTGAGCCGGAGGGCAGAACGCCTAAGAGCCGTCTTTTTTTTTTTTTTTAATCGAAGAAGGCAGTGAGGCCTAGAGAGCGGGACGGACTTAGCTGGCTCCTTTTACCTAAAACAGCTCTTCTCCAATCACCCTATCACACCACCCGTTTTATTTCTTTCCTAGACTTTAAGACTGCCTGATAGCACCTACCCAGTCCACCCCTGCCTCCCTGAACCCAACGCAGGGCCTCGCGCAGAACGAGCGCTCCACAAATGTTTGCTGGATAACTGACTAGTACTGATATCCAAAACGTATGGCGGGATTCCCCTGTGCGAGGTACTGTTCCAAGCGCTTTAGCGCATTCATTTGTTAGTTCCTGAACAACACCATATGAGTAGGTACAATTTTTAATCCCATTTTGCAGATGAGAACATAGAGGCACAGAGAGTTTATGTAACTTGGCC